TGGATGCCCCCCCTACACCACCCCTCATCACGCTGCCTTCCCCAGGGTGACCCCGGACCCATGGGACCCCAAGGCCGGCAGGGACCCCCGGGGCTCATCGTAAGTTGGACCTGTCCCCCCCAGCGCACCGGGACGATGCCCATGGCAGGGCCTCCCTCCATTGCAGGGAGTGGGGGCACCACCATGGCCCCCCCTCTACAGCTGACACCCCTTTCTCTGCCCCCAGGGCCCCCCTGGCAGCCCGGGACAGCCGGGTCCTGCTGGCCTCGCCGGAGTGGTGAGTACAGCCTGGGGCCAGACCCTGCCTGGGCTGTGGGATGTGGGGTGTCGGGTAGGTGACACAGAGAGCAGGTTTGGGGGTCACCATCCCCATCCTGCGCTGACTCCGTTGCTCCCGGCCCCCCCCCGTCCTGCCTCCCTACAGGGGCTGAAGGGCGAGCGGGGCTCTGTGGGGGAGCGAGGTCTGCCAGGGATGCCAGGAGAGCCGGGACCCCCGGGCCACCCGGGACCACCGGTGAGTGCAGCGGGTCACGAGGGGGGTGGCAGAGCCCCCTGCACCCCACCGCAGCAGGGATGTCTGGGACAGCACCCCCATCTCACGCTGCCCCACTTTGGTTTCGCAGGGGGAGCAGGGACCAGACGGACCCGTCGGTAAAGAGGTACGAGCGTGGGCTCGCGGCTCTCCTGTGGGCCCCGGCATCGCCTCGTGGCATCCTCTGGCGTGGCCACGGTGTCCCCAGGGTGGGGGACACCCCTGCTACCCCACTCCTCTGTGTCTCCCCAGGGCCCCCCAGGAAAACCCGGCAGTGCAGGACCGGCTGGCCAGAAGGTGAGGGGAGAGCTGTGGCCATCCTGGTACCCCGACTTGGGACTGGGGGTGCTGGGGCTGAGCTCCGCCTTTCCACCTCTCTGCAGGGAGAAGCTGGATCCCCTGGCGAGAGAGGCTACCCCGGGGAGAAGGGCAGAGCCGGCATGCCCGGGGGGCCGGGGAAGAGCGGCTCCATGGGCCTCGTGGGGCCACGGGGGCCAGTGGGAGAAAGGGGCCCCCCCGGCTCACCGGGACCTGCGGGCAGCCCTGGGCTGCCAGGCCCCCCGGGTATGATGGTAAGGAGGGACAGCCGGGACCCCGCTCCCCCTCCCCAGGGCCTGGTGGCCATGACCCCTCCTGTGTCCCCCCCCAGGGAGACGTGGTGAATTACGACGAGATCAAGAGGTTCATCCAGCAGGAGCTGAGCAAGATGTTTGACGGTAACGGGGTAGCGGGGGCGAGGGCCGGTTGCACCCCGGTATCGCCTCGTCCCCGCCGACGCTGAGCACGGGCCACCTCTCCCTGCAGAACGGATGGCGTACTACACCTCCCGGCTGCACTTCCCGGTGGAGATGGTGGCATCCCCGGGAAGACCCGGTCCCCCGGGGAAGGACGGGCTGCCCGGCCGGCCGGGACCCCCCGGTTCCCCCGGGATGCCGGGGCAGATCGGCAGAGAGGGGCGGCAGGGCGTGCCAGGCATGCGGGGTAGGTGCTGCTCATCGGGGTGTTCCCGGTGTCCCCAAGCACAGCGGTTGTGCCCCGGTCTCACCCCTCTCCATCCACCTCTCCTCTAGGTGAGCCGGGCGCCAAGGGAGAGAAAGGAGAGAAAGGCGTGGGGGTGATGGGGGACAGCGGCCCCCCGGGACCCCCAGGTGAGCCCCCCTCCCTCTGCGTGGCCACCAGCCCCATGCTGGAGCTTGCCACCAGCCCCAGCACCTTGTCACCTCTCACTTTTTCTCTCTCCATCTCTTCCAGGTCCCCAAGGGCCACCAGGCTACGGGAAGATGGGCCCCCCAGGTCCTGTGGGACAACAGGGCATCCCCGGCATCCCCGGCCCCCCGGGTGCCACGGGGCAACCGGGCAAGACGGGGCACTGCAGCCCGGCGGAATGCATGGGGGCCATGCCCCTGGAGCAGCCCCTCTTCCAGCCCAAAAACGTCAAGGGTCCCTTCGGCTGAGGGGCCCCCCCGTGCCCCCCCCGACCTCTGCTGTTAATATCGTTTCCCCGCTGTGCCGGGGGCTCTGCCTGTCCCGCGGGGGGGGTGCATGGGGGGGTGCGGGTGTTGTACAGCTCCGTCGCGATCGTGAGGGCAGGTGGATCCTGCCCGGCCAAATACACCCGTGCTGGTGCCCCCCCGCCTCGTGTCTCCTCGCTGGGCCACGGTCCCAGTCCCGGTCCCTGTTCCCGAGGGACGCTGCTCTGCCGCGGCCTGGAGCCAGACGGGGCGCAGGCCACCCCGGGTGGGGGCACGGGGCCCCCAAGCCCCCTCCTGCCCCACGGCCCTGGGCCTGAGAGGGGGGGATCCTGGGGAGATCCCAGCCCTGATCCCGGGAGATCCCAGCCCTGGTCCTGGGGGAGATCCCAGCCTGATCCCAGGAGATCCCAGCCTGATCCCAGGAGATCCCAGTCCTGATCCCAGGAGATCCCAGTCCTGATCCTGGGGTGATCCCAGCAGATCCCAGCCCTGATCTTGGAGAGATCCCAGTCCTGATCCTGGGGGA